TATATATATATATATATATATTTTTGTCAGTCTGTCTGTGTGTGTATGTGCCTGTGCATATTTTGAAAATATTCAGACTTTGATGTGAAAGTCAATTCCTCATCGTCATACTTGTCATTCTTCCACTCCGCATCTCCGTTCTTGACCTCATTTCAGTTTCCCTTGCTCCATTTTCATATTTTTATCCATCACTTATAATATTTTTTTCTTTCTTTGTCACGATGGCAGCCCCGGTAGCTTATCTGATTACTCACTTCATTCACCTGCCATTCCCTCCCCAATCTCTATTTATCATTTATCTTTTTCACCTGCTCTCTCTGCTATATATACGGTTTAGCCCAGCCATCGGGGTCAGATCATTATTTTGTGGATTCTTTTTTCATTCGTGTGTTCGTACTTTACTCGGGTATTCTTTGTTCATTTGTTAAATGTATTTGTGTCAGTTGTTCATGTTTGTTTTCGAGTTTTATGTAAGTTCCTGGTTCATGTACTGACTCTTGGAGGCCAGTGGATTGAGAGGGTTTGGTGTTTGTCTCCTGACCGTGTCCCGGCTCTTCTCTGCTTAGCCCTCAGGGTTTTGTTCGGCTTGCGGGGGGGAGCGCGGGTTCTGGTCCTTCTCCGTGGAACCCTCAGGGTTTTGGCTTGGGGAGGTCAGTTTTAATTCCTATAAGCCTGGCTCCAAGGTGGAAATCAGTTTAAAGTTCTGCACTGATTTCGGTACCATGTCTTATCTCTGTCCCACAACCACTGAGCCTGCCTGTCTACATCTCCTTTGCTGAGGTAAAAATAGAAACCAGGTCAAATCCACCTGGAATAGATTCAGTAAGTTCTTGGAGTTTAACTTCAAATAGGCGTAACATTTAAATATTAAAAAGTAAAAATCAGCATGTTATTCATAAAATACATCCTATTGATTCTACGACACCTTGACCTGTTTCTATGTATGAAATTGATAAAAAAAAATACAGTTGGGAAAAAGAAGGTAAAATATCCTTACATTTTTCTTTTGTTTTAAGAATAGGTTTCCAGTCATGGATGTTCCGATACCAGTCCATAAACCCCATTAACGAAAAACTCCAATTCTCTTCTAAAGAGAAAATTCCTTTTTGTTTGTTTTCCTTCCTGCTCTGATGTCTTTTCTTCATCTCGCCTCTTTTCACCTCTTCATTATTACTCCTCTTGCTCTCTAATCTCTCGCTCCTTGATTTCCTGTCTCAGAATGTCTCCCCATCGATTCCCTAAGCAGCTACACTTCAGTTAAACGGAGTATTACGGTGTCTTAGCAATTTTGTTTTTTTTTTCATAAATATGCAGAAAGAAAAATGCAGCAGGCAGACAAACATTCTCTCTGTCTACAAATCCTATTTCACAGTTTGTCTGTTAAAGAGTGGCTTAAATTTTCCTCGTCTCAGCAAAATGCAGCATGGGGCATTACAATAAATGAATGTACAGCTCATTATCTCCCTCGCACACACAGATGTGTTAAAACAGAAAAGCAAATGAAGCGCATCCACAATGGATAATGTGCAGAATTGTGCCTGGATGGAGCAGATTAAAACAACCCTAAAAAGCTCATCCCTGATGGGGCCGAAACCCACCTGCTTCTCCCCGCTTGGCCTCCTGTGTGATAACAGCAGCTCCACGGCGCCCACCACCTCCTTCCTGATGGCGTACAGCAAGGCGTCACCTGTGTGGATGCCATGGTCCAGCAGGAGCTCCATGATCTCCAGATTCTCGTTCTCGATGGCGATGAGGAGAGCGCTGCGACCCAGCGGATCCAGACAGTTAACGTCCATGTTGTAGTAGACTTCTGCCTCGCGAAGAGCATGTTTGACTCCTGCATAGTCACCTAAGGAAAGAGAGAGAATAATAAAAGCCTGAAGACTAGATGGTCCTTTTATAGTTAAGGTTAAGTGATAAGTGACCAATTCTTGGAAAGTGCTTGTGTGAGTTAAGTTAAATGTTACCTTGAAACTAACTGTTCACTTCAGGTGTAGTTTTATAGTGAGTAATTTCTAGTTATCATCCCATATTGTAAATATGACAGATTAAAACAAGCTTTCTGCTGAGCTCCTGTTTTCCCAAAAGAGGCAAACACGGAGGTGTAGCATCATGATAGAGGACATCTAGACGAGATGCTGACACCTGTGAACTGCTGCTGGCTGCAGACTGCCTGTCCAGCTGCTTAGCCTTCAGCACCATTTCATGGGTGACTGGATGTCTGGGGTGCAGGTGTGGAGGGAACAAACTGACTGGTGTGGTTTCAGATAAACAGATGGCTATAGGAGGTTCTTTCTCTTTTACTTTTCTTTTACTCTGTTGTTCTTACCTTTCTCTACAGCGGTGAGGTAGGCCCGCTCTTCAGCAGACAGCTCCACTTCAGCCCGGACAATCTGAAGCGGGATTCGGTCTCGGTACGGCGAATAAATCGCCTAAAGAATTGAGGAAAAAATATTGTTTTTTTAACTTGATAAACAAGATGGCAATAAGGTGTCATGCAGATGTGGAAAAACATGAGATAAAATAAATAAAAAAAGAAAGGCTGGTGTTAAACCCTCCTTAAAGATTGATTTTTAGTTGTCCAAACTTTAACCTGAATTAAAGTGGGTTTGTGAGGGACAGCCACAAAGGGTCATTACCTTAACAATGTATTATAGACAGCTGTCAAAGGATATCAGCTCAAATGAACTCTGCTCAGTTGCATATTGAATTGAAAGGCCAGGTGGCCCAACAATGTATTGACTAAAGGGAGATGAAAACAAAATAGATTTGTCAAATCTTTATTATAATTGCAATACAAAAAAAAAACCTTTCTTGGTCTATCACATTATTGTGATTTAACAATGCCCCAACATCTGTTTTTTGTCTGAAGAACATTTTATTGTGAATTGCACAAATCTTTAATTCAGCAGCACTAGATGCTCCAAAGACATCCATATGCTCTTATAGCTGCAGGGGGTGAACCTTACCTCCCAGGAGAAATACGCCACTGTGGCAAAAGCAGCTGCACATGTGTGCAGCCATGTAATTTTAGTCATTCGGAAAATAATGTTGGAAACCTATCCTAACATAAGCATCACATGTAAGCAGAAAAATAATTTGAAGGAAGGCTTTTAGTTTGAATTATTTAACATTTGCAGGGCCTGTCAGCATTTTCAAGACAGTTCATTCAATTTGCAAGCAGTTACCCTGCAGCGTATCACTGTTTAAGTATTTAACTCACCTTTTTGTAGTATAGCTGTGTCATTGGATTCATCTGGGCTGTAAAGAAAAAGAGAAGAAAGAAAAATTAAACAGTTAATGCAGAAATCTGTTTCGATGTGGGCAAGGGGCAGTAGCCACTAACTTCTACATTTCTACACATCATTCATGCAAGTTTCTCAATGAATTTGGTTTAATCTAAGAGGGTATGCACATGTGGTGAAACAAGCAGTAGTGATCCAACTGACATACAGCTGAAGAGGCACCAGCAGTAAGCTGGATGCAAAAAAAACATTGAAACAAAGCAGTTGCGAATTAAAACGAGACTTTGCCTGATCCAGTACAGGATAAAATAGCGATACATGGTAATATCTGTATGTATGACTTTCTCAAAACCTCACAAGTAAAAAAATTTGCTCTCTATATTTAGTCAAATCATTTCACAGCACACAGAGAACAGATAAGTCTCCCCCCACACTGCGATTGCCCCTGGTTACTACATGTAATCCTTATAAACCACAGCCTAAAAGAGGGTGTTTAGCCCCTCATGTTTGCACATTTGTGTGTTTTTGTCTTTGTTTGTTTGAGCCTTTACACACATTAACTTACTGTGCCATAATTACCCCTTATTTGTTTATTTGGTGAAGCAGCGTTCAAGGCAGACGATGCACTTTTACATTCTCCAGCACAGCGCGGCATTAATTTTACATCAGTAGGAGGCAGTCATACTGAATGCTGATGAAGGAAGGAAAACAATGAAGCAATCTGCATGTGTGTGTTGGAGTAAGAGAGAGCTAATTAAAGTATGCTGTTGTTCTGAATACTAGGCAAGGACGAAGAACGGCTATTATCAAAATAAAAGATAGGCACTGTCTGAGCATGTTTAACATCTGAATGTCATTAGTTACAGTCATCACACAAACCGCAGTCTGCACAGGTTTTTCTTTTCCAGCTGCTCTCTCGTCGGCACCAAAAGCAGAGGACAACTGTTAAAGGATATTAAAGGTGCAGCAATTTGTTTATAAGTTATCAGCCTGGTTCTTAGCCTGTTATATGAGCAGCAATGGCATCTCGGTGCTGTGACACATTTTTATTGCTTCTTACTCCTGCTCATTTTAAAAGCCATTTTCTAGTAGTTATAATCTTTCTTCTGCAGCAAAATGTTTTCCCCATTTCAGACTGCATGGATTTCAGTCTCAACAATACCAACCGGTTACTGATAACTGCAGTCAGCATATAACCAGACTAAAGGTTTTTAAATATCCTAAACAACAGGATGAAATAGATGTTCTCTTCAGATGGTGTTCTTTAATATTACTCTTGAATGTCTTGTGGCCGATAGCTTTATCAAGGACTAAGGCTTTCCTCTACGACTCGCATTCCCTCTGCCTAATCAATGTGCCCATTTTTAGGACATTATCTGTCAGTTGTACAATTAATAAAAAAAATATGTTTCAGAGGAAGCATATTTTTGCTGATTGATTTAGAAAGGTGTTCACAGTGCTGGATATAGTTAAACATGAGGAATTCATATACGGTTAAAAAAAAAAGGTATGCAGTGTGCTGTTTGATCCAAAATTTGGGATAGTTTTTAATATAATTTATCTTTCTTGAAACCAGATAAAAACAATTTCAGATATGTAGACAGTTTTATATTTATACACTTTTACAATGTTGAATTCTGTTGATCATTTCTGCAATACGAAGGACAGTTTATAGGTAAATGCATATTCATTTTACCTAAAATTTGATAGGTTGATACTTTCAATTGATTGCTCACTGCTCATTTGCACTGGTAAAAAGATGTTTATTTAAATGGTAAATGGTATGTACTTATATAGCGCCTTTATTCAAGTCAGGAGACTTGACCAAAGC